GCGGGGGGAGAGTTATCAAGGCGCCCCCTTTCTGTCCAGACGTCTTTCTTCAACCTCTGCCAGCTCCAGAGGCAAGCGCCCCGGTCCTTAGGGCGCCTTCGTCCGAAGCGGAGTTTAACTTTTGTGAGGAGGGAAAAGGGGAGAAGGTGGTTCGCGGCGGCGTGGGGGGAGCCCTCTCTCCCGCGCACACGCCCTCAGGATCGGTCCCCTCGAACTCCACGAATGGGAAGAAAGGGTCGGGGAAGGAGGGCTGGTCAATCTCCGGTCCCCGGCACCCCGAGCCGCGCCCGCGATCCCCAAGGCGACTTACGTGTCCCATCGAACCTGTTGGCGATGTTATCCAGGAAGGTGTTCTGCGGCGCCAACAAGCCTTTCATCACCGGCATGGCGGCAGCACCATCGGCGCCCCCCGCCCTCGCCGCCCTCGCGGGGAGGGTGTCCCTCTATGTGTGTGTGTGTGTATGTGTGTGTATGTGGAAGGAGGGGGGGTGTTCTCAGAAGTCGCCCCGAAGCGGGTCAGGCAGGAGGGTGCGCGGCATCCCGGCCTGCGCTGGCAGCGCGAGGCGAGGCAGCTGCGGGAGCCACCCGGGCTCGCTCCCTCCCGGCTGTCATTTCCCTCCCCACTAATCCCAGCCGTGCAATTAGCAAGGGAGCGGGCTGAGGCGAGCACATGGGGAAGCGCTGGGGGTGGTGGGGCGCGGGGAGGAGGGAGGAGAGCTTGAGAGGAGAGAGCGCCCGGGAGGCGAGGGGAGCGAGCGAGAAGGAACCCGCCCAGATCGCGGGCGCCCGCGCCTCCTGCTGCTCCCTTGCGCGCTCGCTCCCTCGCTCACTTACTCCCAGGAGCGGCGCCTGGCACGCTCCGCAAAGGGTCCCGCACGGCGCTGCCCGAGCGAGGCCAGACGCGCCAGGAGATGGGCAGGAAGCGCCTGTGCCAGATGCGCGCGCCCTGTTGGATTATTTGCTCTTCAAGATATTTCCAGATAAACGCTGGGAATTGTTGGCTCAAAAAGAAAGTATGAATTTTATACTCTTCTAAGCCTCTCTTTTGGTTGTCAAGAGAGATTCCCTCCCTCAGTTCAGTTCACCAAACACACAGGGGAGAAAGTGCTGGATTATTTGCCATTAAAGATATTTCAGATAAACGCTGAGAACGCAGAGGTGAATGAAAAAAGAAGTCAGCAAACAAACAATATATATAAAGAAGTAACCCAATATACATCTACTATAAAAATATCAGACTTAAAACCACCCATTTGCTATGCACAGCTTAATAAAACTAAGAGCTTGTATGTAAAAATGTAACAGAAACTTTGCTAAACATACAAGACCAAAAAAAACAACAACAACCAAAAAGAGGTTGATGGTAAAAGAGAACAAAATGACTTAGCTTCAGAAGAAAAAACATAAAGCGAGCTCTATCAAAGAACGGCAGGCATATCAAGGTAAAGGCGAGATAGCAGCAGATACAACACACAACAGCTTCTGCTATCTACTAGCATCTGGTGAAAAGGTAAGCAAGGCTTTCCCTTATAGCCAGAGAAAGAAAAGAAGAACAGGTGTATTTATTACTGTAATAGCCTGAGACATGGTAGGAAAAAAAGGAGTCAGGCTTTTAAAGAAAAAGGTACATGCATGGCTGCATTGCATTGTAAGAAAAGAAAAAACAGGAAAAAAACAACACTCACATGCGCACGTATCCACATAATGTCTCTTTTTCACTTCTTCCTTTGGGTACTTAAAGAGAGAGAAAAGAGAGAGATGATAATAAAATGTACCAAAAAGCATGTTGAAAAAGGGACGAAAACAAAACCATCGAGTGCTTTCACCTAACACTCTTAAGGCCCCACTCACTGAGAGAAAAGCCCTGAACTCATTGGAACTGACTTCTGAGGAGACAACTGTAGGGTTTTAGGGGAAGAAGCCTGGGAGCTTACTAGCCACTTTGCAACTCCCAGGCATGGATGAAATGACCGTTTTGGCCCTCCCTGGGGCAGAAAGGGAACCACCGCTAAGAAGTCCCTTGTGGGCTTCTCCACTCTCTCCTTCTTGTTGTCCTTGCCCACCCTTGTTCTTGACAAGCACTTCCAAAGGTGAGGAAGGGCAAGGCTGGTGGGGAAGCACACATACCTTCAGGTCAGGACCTTCTTCCGCCCTACCTGACAAAGGGGGCTTTAAAGTGAGTTTTGAACTTAAAAGTTCCCAGATGGAACGTGGTGTACGTTTTCCACTCCATTTATCAGACATTTTAAAAAGAAAATGTCTTGGGGATCTTGAGATGCACACCACAAGATCTTGGGAATCTTGAGGTGCACATTGTCCACATGAGGCCTGAAGACACCTGTTCGCCACTTTCGCTTTAAAGTGCTATGGGGTTGTGGGTGTGTAGATGTGTCTTGGTCAGTTTTCCTGGAATCCTTCTGAGCTTTTATTACTCCATTTGCTTGGCTGGACTGTGGCTGGACCAGACCCATCATTTCCTTTTCCTTTCCATTTGCCACTTCCCTTTTAATGCACGGTTTTGCTCATTTGTGGGACGTGGTGGTGCTGCGGGTTAAACCGCAGAAGCCTCTGTGCTGCAAGGTCAGAAGACCAAGCAGTTATAAGATCGAATCCACAGGACGGAGTGAGCTCCCGTCGCTTGTCCCAGCTCCTGCCAACCTAGCAGTTCAAAGCATGTAAATGCGAGTAGATAAATAGGGACCATCTCGGTGGGAAGGTAACAGCGTTCCGTGTCTAGTCACACTGGCCATGTGACAACAGAAACTGTCTTTGGACAAATGCTAGCCCTATGGGTTGGAAACAGAGATGAGCACCGCGCCCTAAAGTCGGACACGACAGGACTAAATGTCAAGGGGAACCTTTACCTTTACCTTTGCTCATTTGCTTGCAGGCATCATCTCCATGTGGGCTGGAACAGACTCCTTTCAGAATTGCTGGCGCCTGTACTTGCTGCTGACAGCAGGCCTCATGCACTGGTGTGAATGTCCGTCCCATCCATGCACACAGATGTGGAAGCAGCTGGAGACTTGTGCTTCAAAAAGGTCAGCTTCCTTCATGAACTGTGAAACACCCCAGAATCTTTTGCTAAGAGATGTTGCTAAGAGTTGTGCATTGCACCCTCAATGCACATGCAAGGCAGCCCAGCCTTGGCTAGTCTCCTCTAAGGCAGGTCATTTAAGGAGGTGCAGTTGGTGTTACTGACTAATTGTTGAATGAGCGGCAGGAATGCTCCCATTTTGAATGTGGACACAAATTGGGGAGATTGGGAAGCAGTTACAGCACTCTTTCTTGCTATATTTTGAGGAAACTCTCTTTTGCAGGATGAATTTGTATTGGATAAAATGTAGTACAGCAATGTAGTGTTAGATGTGCTGGATAGGTATTCCTATTGTTTGGATTCCTCTATTTTAGGTTTGTCTTTTCAATTTCAAAACAATTATGGCAACTACAGTTAAAGCTTGCAATAAGGGCCAATCAAAACCTCATAAATTTTTCCCCCCCCCCCCCCCCCCCCAGTATTTTGGTCCTTTAAAAGGTATCGTCCCACTGTTGGATTTTGTGCATATTGTGCATGAACCAGTGTGGCTACGTTTGTTTATTCCTGTCCTTAAAGCACACTGTTTTTGCAAGATGACTTTGCATGCCAGCTTTTCCCCTTCCTCCCGTCCCAACACACATGCAAATCCCTTGGAATGCTGCCCTGCCTTTAGGTAGGGGGGTGGAATGGAACGGATGGGCATTGGTTACCATCCAAATCTATTCTTGTCACTCCTCCATCCCATACCCTGCTCAGTGCCAGCAACCCTGTTAAAAATGGGCATATCAAGGCAGCTCATAGACAGATGGGCTTTTTCCTTGGGTCTTCCTCAGTTACCCTGGAAAACTACTTCCGTGGAGATGTCCCATAGAGGTGCATTCCAGTTCAAAATCATAGACCTGCTCACTCCAGTTTTACTTCCCTTTAGGCTGACTTTGGATGGCTACCCCTGGGAAAAGGAACTTGTAAGTCTCACTCAAGAAAACTGATTTAATCATGCTAGAATTCATCTGTGCAGTGTGTGATGGATTACAGTAAAGGAGGAAAAAGAGTATATTTGACCATGTGCAGAGGTCAGAGTGCTCAGAGTCAGGGTTTGCTTTGGAAACTTGTTCAGATTGCCACTCCAAGAACAGTTTGCTTGGCCCAAGGAGTTTCGGTTCTTTATCCCTGACGTATATAGTGCATCTCTGAACAAAGAAAAAGGCCAGTATCCTGTTGCGGGTCTTAACTAAGAATAGACCCATTGGATCCATTTCAAGTTAAGTCAACAATTATGTAAATCCAGCTGAGTTGATGGGTCTATTCTAGTTGCAGCTAGCATGGCGATGTTGGTCTAAATCTTTTTCTCTTACCATAGGGCAGAGGTGAGGTAGAGGACATTTATGGTGGTGTTGTGGACCCCATTCCCTCGCTCGAGACAGCATGGCAGATGTACTCATTCTCTGCACCCCCTTCTCTCTCTCTTTCTCCCACCATCCCCTACTAGCAGACTGATCTGGAAGGGATGCCATTGTCAGAGTCCAAAATAAGAGACCCCCCCTCTTCTGTCCCTCCACCCAGGTTAAGTCTTTCTATTCCTCTTGGGTAAACTGCCCTCTTGTCTCCCACCCCAGCTTCCCTTGCTCCATCTCATGCAGCTTTCCTTCAGCAGAGGCTGGCTCTTTAAGGCAAACAGGGCACCACCAGCCGCTGCCACCCTGCACTGGATTGACTACTCCCAGCTGATCCCTTCCTGCCAGTTTCTGTATCTGAGTAGACATGACCTGCCCATGTCCCTCTCCTGCTGAATGCCTAGCCTCACACAGTGTGAACGAGTGTGTGCGTTGAGGGGAGGGTGGGAATGAGATAATGAAGATGAGTTCATCAGCCAACAGTCCTCCCTTGAAACCAGGCACAGAGAAGGAAGCGGCAATTGGTTTGGGATCTTGGATGTTTTTTTCCCCCTGCTGTAAGTTATAGAATGAATGAATGGGCTAAGGGTGCAACTGAGTGTGTGCTTCTGTATGTGCATGTATGTGCACGAGTACATCACTCACTTGCCTGGTCCAGTGTGTATGCCTGCACACATACATGGTACAGTATATAAATGCCTGCTTTTGCCCACCTTTGGCCCCTGCACCCTTCCTGCCGCCATCCATGCTATCCACTATGGGCATCAGCTACTAATGCTTTCCTTCCCCATTTCCCCCTCTCCTACTCCTTCTCTTGCTTTACATTAAACTGGGTTGGGAACTACAGGTCAGGCCACACGCTTGCTATAGTATTGACCATAATGGATCTAGGATTAATATCACGGAGTGGCCAAGACAGAGGGTTTGGCTTTCAAGCAGAACTGAACCACCACGACCACCTGTGCCCAGGACCTTTTCTGTTGGGACAATTCAGATTTTCACAAAGCGCAATTTGTTCCAAGACCTGGCACAATAAAGAAGAGCAGTAGAGGAGAGAGTACCCTTGAGCAAAGTGTTCTCCTCTGCCTTGCTAACCTGGACAATCCCTCACACGTTTAGAGCTTAGTGTTCCAAATCAGACCCTGTCATGCTAACCCAGGAAGCGGAGAGCGTCTGACAATTTCTTTGTGGAGACGAAGCGCTAACACAGTGCACAAAAGGATCACCCACACAAAGAGGTTTATTGTGGCGCTGGGGTTTCCAGCTTTCTTTGCCAACACTGCCCTCTGGCCGCCAACCTGGGCCAAGCCTGCGGAGTGGTTCAAGCAGTGGTGAGTACACAGAAGACTTCGCTGTGATGGATAGCTAGAAACATCCTCTTAATAGATAGGGTGATGGAGTTAGGCTCTGGCTTCTGGTCACTCTGAACACCGAGGCCAATTTGGAGGCAACAAAGGTGATTAAATGAGTGCTCTGAAACAAAATGCCACTGGCTCAAAAAACTGTAGGAAATAGTTCTGGTCTGAGTCAAGCAGTAATGGGATGACAGCTCTTAGCATAGCTCTCAGTCCCAAAAAACAGACACCTGTCCCTCTCTCTTAGATCCCTCCCTCCACCCTTCTCTGTTTCTTATGTGCGCACATACATATACTGTATGCATGCATGCACATGTACAGCTATTTTTCTCCACTCAGGAGCTGGAATTCTGCAAGCCAAGATGAAAGCAAATGTAAGCAAATCTCTGGTGATCCCAGTAAAAGGACGGCTTGGTCAAATAGCTCTATTACTATGTGTTGCACTGCATGCTGGTTTACAAAAGGCTTATGCCAAAGGCGGGAAATATAGTCCAGTGAAGTCTGGAAAGTCAAACGTTTCCCAATCGCAGTCTGAAGCTTACTTTACATGTCTGCATACAGAGTGAAGTTTGGAAACAGGAGGGCATATTGAAGGAGAAGGAGGAGGAAAAGGAAGAAGAGAAGGGGAAAGAGTTTGTCCGTTTCATACACGATGGGCGTTTTTGCCTGTCTTGATAAAGTTACTTATTTTGGGTTACAACTCCCTGGGTTGGTTGTAGGATTCTAGTATTTGTCATCAGAAAAAAGTAACTTTTCTAAGTGCTAGCTAAAACTCCGCCACATGTGAAAGGGACACATTTTGATATATGGTAATTAACTTTGATTATTAATTGGCACCCTCTGGATGAGGTTTTGTTCTGTCCAGGTTCTTCAGGCGAGCAGCAGAGTGTTTCATACAAGCATTGACAGAGCAGCTATGAAACATGATCACCAGCTTTATTTGAGAGAGGATGAGGTGATGGATGTTTGAAAAGAGCTGTTTACACAAGGGGAACAACTGCGGTGATGCTACCTTGGACACAGCACCAACACCTGCCTGATGTTAAATAACAACCCACAATAGTGATGAAAGAAACCTTAAGGGGAACTAATGGGCAGTCTTGAACAGCTTCTTCCCCCTTGAACACACCTTAGTAAGTGGAATCAACAGCACCAGTCTTTGGTCCGGGTGGCAAGTCCTTTTCCAAGTAGCCTCCAGCAGGATTGGGCCCTGGAGCACATAGCACTGGTGCCAGATGGGCAGTGCTGTTGCGGACATTCCCCTTGGGCTCCGTTGCCCACTCGCTCGCTGCCCTCCTGCCCATGGTGAGGATCCCCGCAGCCTGGTTCTCTGAGCCGTGGAAGAGACGGTAGAGCTGGCTGTGGAAGGCCTGCCTGGCTGTGGCACGGCCCCGCTTGCCAAGGGTTAGGATGCCAGCGGCGTGGTTGCCCATTCCATGGAGCAGCTCGAAGATGCGACATGAGCAGCTTTTCTGATGGCAGCACGCTGGCACCATTTGCTTGGCATCGGTCAAGGAGCACAGCAAGAAGAGCAGGAACAGGAAGGTGGCTCTTCGGACCTGGGGACACACAACAAGGAGTTGGCAGCTTTCAAGTTGGCGGGGGTCCAAGGCAGGAGCCTTTGCTGATGAGACTTTTAGCTCATCCAGACTGACAACTGGCAGTTCTCTAAGGTTTTGGGTAGCCATGATTCTTCCCACTGGTTAACCAAGATGGAACTGGGTGTTGGAATGCCCGGTGTGAAAATGATTATGTTGTTGTTTTAAATTAGCACCTATCCTTTGAAATTGTTTTGTCAACTTTCCGATGAGCCTTCTTCCCCTAATTCAAAGTTTCTTTCCAGGGGGGGTTCCATCAGCTTGGGGTTTTTTTTTTTTTGCAGTAACAGAGTAACTCATTTAGGGAGCTGAGATGGTCGAGAAACTAAGACAATATGGTTTTGTTTTTGTTTTCAAGAACCACTCAAAATCGAAAGAAAGAAAGAAAACATTTCAAAACTCTGTGTTTGTTTTACCTTACAGCCCCTAAGCTATTTCCCCTGAAATATTATCTTCCTCACCCCAGTTTCAGCTTTTCTAACCTTTCAGGCTGAAAGGCTGTGATGAATAATATTTTTGGAGCTGCTGTGGCTTAACACCATTTACTTCAGTCATTTACCCCTTCTGTCTGAACCTGTGTACAGTCATGTTTTATATCAGTGTCAAGGTTCTAGCCCCCATTTAAAAAATGCCCAGTCTTAGACAGTACCTTTGCCCAGGTATGAAAAGTCCTACTTATGGCTCTGCCAGCATGGCTTTAGGAGAGTAGCACCCCATCCCACTTCAAGGGAACCAGGTTGTTGTAATTCATAATACATGTTTAGATCTGGCTCTGCATCAATTCTTGAGATTCACAATGTTCTTTCTTTCTTTCTTTCTTTCTTTCTTTCTTTCTTTCTTTCTTTCTTTCTTTCTTTCTTTCTTTCTTTCTTTCTTTCTTTCTTTCTTTCTTTCTTTCTTTCTTTCTTTCTATGCACTCACAGACCAAAAGGCATGCCATATTATCAGTCCTATGGGAAAAGGGGACAAGTGGCATAGCGCTGTGGAATTAACAAGGCTCTCCATTAAAGCCAATTTTGTGCACATTGAATGGTGCATCGTAATTTGCAAAGGGAAATGCCATTTGATGCCCCTGCTTTGGGCAGCAGAAATTATTTAGCTGGCCCTGCACTACACTTAGTCACCATTTGTTCAACCAGGATTGCATATCCCTCTTGTTCCTCTGCTGAGGTAGCATTGCTTTTATTTCCCCTATCATATTTAGCACCCTGTTATCACACAGTGGCAGAGGTACTGCTACAAAACCTTGAGACAGGAGATGAGGCATAGTAGACAAGATCAGAGCTTTGAAAACATACTTTTAAAAATAGAAACTCCCTGAATCCCCCAGTCAACGGGGCCACTGACAATGAGAACTGGGGACTGTCTGAGACTTGTAGTTTGAAAAGCCACTTTTCCAATCACCGGACAAGATGGTTTCTTGGTGATGCAAAAGTCTGAGTTTCACCATACTTCTAAAACCCACATTGAATGAATGAATGAATGAATGAATGAATGAATGAATGAATGAATGAATGAATGAATGAATGAATGAATGAATGAGAATGTATCAACTGCCTTTATCTTTTCTAGATATACCATGAGCCTGTATTGCCCAATGCAATTTGTGTCTGGCTCACTCTAGGGTTTCCCAATGATCTCGCATGGCTTCATCCCAAAAAGGTGTCTCCAACCCCATGTTACACCTCCCCACCAACTCACCCTGGGCTTTCCCTAGCTAGAAAGATGCATGACTATTACCTTCATATTGTGACTCTCCCTCAGCTTGAATGTCTTCAAGGCTACAGGTGAGCTTGTGTCATGACCTTCTGGAGGCAATGCTCTCAGCAAATGCTGGAGGCGGCGGCCAATTTATAAGGTTGGGTTTTGAGCGGGTACTGGGAGTCTCATTTGCTCCTGTTTGTGATACTCTTTGTCTCCATTGTGGAGCCGAAAATAATACTCCCTCTCTGCACCTCGAAAAGGCTCAGAAAAGAGTAGAAGGATTCTTTTGCACGCTGTCTCTAAGTGACAAGACAAGTCACCTCCTTCCTTTGTCCCGTTCCTTCTGCTAACAAACCCACCCGGGTCTGAGGAAACCGGCAGCCACAAAAGAGGCCAAAGCCTCGGCTGAGATAATGAGAGAGATGCACTTGTTAGCATAGGCCTATTAGGCTAATTACCTTCTCTTTTTTAAAAAAACACCAAAGGCCAAGAAACTAGCAGTGTCCTTTTTGTTGCCCAGCCTTAGCACGTTGCATTGACGTACTTCAGCAGTGGCATGTGGCTCTTGAAAGACCTGCAGATGGGGACCTGTTGTGAGGGATCGGGTTCTTTTAGAGTTTTAGGGGTGCAGAATCTGTTAACGTTCAACCTGGAAGCGGCTTTGGAGATTCCCTAGTGTACTCACTGTGCTCACTGCATCTTGCAGGGGGAGCTTGGGAAAGTTGTCATTTTCTTAGACTACAGCTCCCAGAATCTATATACCTATATATATAGATTCTGGAAGCTGTAGTCTAAGAAAATGACAACTTTCCCAAGCTCCCCCTGCAAGATGCAGTGAGCACAGTGAGTACACTAGGGAATCTCCAAAGCCGCTTCCAGGTTGAACGTTAACAGATTCTGCACCCCTAAAACTCTAAAAGAACCCGATCCCTCACAACAGGTCCCCATCTGCAGGTCTTTCAAGAGCCACATGCCACTGCTGAAGTACGTCAATGCAACGTGCTAAGGCTGGGCAACAAAAAGGACACTGCTAGTTTCTTGGCCTTTGGTGTTTTTTTAAAAAAGAGAAGGTAATTAGCCTAATAGGCCTATGCTAACAAGTGCACACACACACACACACACACACACAGATTGGGGGATTGTGCTAGTTGTAGTCCAAAAAAGGAATGTTTCCAAACGCTTATAAGAATGGCATCTCCATGTTCAACAGTCCTCCTGGAGGTACTTCCTGAATCCCCAAAGGAAGAAAAGAAGTTTAAGAGGAAGCATTGGATCACAAATGAACTTTTGGGAGACTGAGACATAACATAAAGTGGTTGTTGTGGGTTTTTCGGGCTCGAAATAACATACACTTTCTATACTAGAGTTTCCTCTTTTAACGAAAGAGGGGCTTTGCCCTGTGCATCACATGTTGAAGTCAGTACAGTCATACAACAAGGCTGGAGAATGTGTGGCCTTCTAGATGTTGTTGATAAAGGACAACTTCTTTGAGCCCCAGCCAGCATAGCCAGTGGTGAGGAATGATGAGAGATTCATTTCAACAACATGAGGAAGCCACAAGTTCCCCAGACTTGTAAGCCATCTTGAATTAATTAGTAGTGGTGTTTCCATAATGCCATTCAATCTAACGTCTAATATGACTTGACTATGACCACAGTTTGTGCTTGATAGGCATGCAGGGAGGGAGGGAGTATGAACAGACATGACAGGGCGGGTAGGAAGGAAATGCTGAATCCTCCCTCTCACACCAACACCCCTAACCTGCTTTTTGCCTAGTGTTTTTCTGTCTCTGCTCTTGAGGTCTGTGGGGACTGGGGAAAGGAGAGATGATAGCCAGAAGGCAGGTTTGGCACTCACTTATTCCTCAACCAATTTTACCATGAATCGGCACTGCATTCTATATGTCTGGTTGTGGCCCCTCCTGAAAAAGACAATTTCAGCAAATATTTCAAATTCTTTAGTATTGGTAGTTGGGGCATAGACCTGAATGATGATTGTATTGATGGGTTTTCCATGGAGTCTGATTTATATTATTCAGTCTGATCTTGCATTATAGCCTCTAACTGCCTGTGCTACATGTTGCCTCAGTGTTGAAACTACTCCATTTCTTCTGAGTTTGTCATTTCAAACGTAGAACATGTTGCAGTTGTCTGACTGATAGTATCGCATCCTTATCTACTTTAGTTCACCGACACCAAGTACTGCAATGTTTGTATGTTCCATTTCTTGTTTTACAGTTTCCAGTTCACCTTGATTCATACTTTTCACGTTCTATGTTCCAACTCTATGTGTTGTACAGCTTCAGACTTTCCTTTTGCTTCTATGCACATCAGCCACGAGACATCCTTTCAGCTTTAATGTACTTGCATCATTAGCAATAGAGCTCTTTGTACTTTTCCTTTGCTCATCCTCATTAGCTGATTGAGTGCTTTCTAGCCTGGGAGTCTTATCTTCCAGCATTATCATTTTTTTCTTTTCTTTTTGAACTGTCTCATCATAAGGTTTTCAAGTTAAGGAAAGTTCAGCAGGAGTTCATTTTGCCAGCGACTGTGAAGTTGGTTTGAATGTCCCCACCTCTGCCTCCTTTGCCAATGTCAATTCAGCTACCGCTGCTGCCCAGTAGCTACCCCAAAGAGGGTGGATGCATCTTAATCTCCACTGGTATTCCTGTTTCCTTGGTGGGGACTCCTTCATTATCTCCTCTTCCAGAGATGTTCCTGCTTGACTGGGTTTGTACTTTGGGCTGTTCTTCCTGGGGCTGTTGGGGGATTCCTTTCCCATCCCTCCTCCTCTGAAGAAGCCACATGGTGAGGTCCATGCTGTCCTTCTCAGCCAGGAGCTCAGGCAGGCAATTGCTCTTTGGTTGCTTGGCTTTGTCAGCCAGTGCACCCACAAACCCCCAAATAGTGTGACTCACAGTTTACGGTTTGCTGCAAAGCTCTGTGTTGACCCCTCACTCCCAAATCACACTATCATGTATGGTGACTAGTTTGTACTTGGAGAATCCAATTTTAGATAAAGTCAAAAATGGTCAAGTTTCAGCTTGATGTGGTGGTAATGCCTGGATATATTTTCTGTCATATTCTTCCTATTTTTGTGGGATGACCAGGCCTGGGGCTCTAGGACCGGGATTCCTCCCAGCCCTTGAAGAGTGCTGTAGCCCCATGTTGCCCAGTTGCCATGCACCCATTTAGTGAGACACACACACAGGATCACATTTACCCTGGCTTCTGAGCCTCCAGATGCTCATCACGCTCCAGTACGTAGCTGCCCTTGACAAAAATCACATTGTTGGGGAAGACTGCAGCATCTGCCCCCTCTGGGGGGCACACTTGGTACAACAACTGGCCATGAGAGAGGCAGGGAATGTCTTCTTGGCACATCCAGGCACCTTGCCATCAATCTGCTGCTGTTCCAGCACCTACATCTCTAGAAAGGTAGATGTTCTGGCAGCTGAATGGATGAGGGCCCTATCAAGGTCCAACCCCACCCTTCTGGCTGACCCCCATTCTTTGGCTACACTCAAGGTGAGGTGCTCCACACTGCAGCCCACATCTAGCATCTCTTTGCTCTGGAACCACTCTGGCTTCATCACAATAAAACATATTGTGCCCAACATCTGTCTGTGCTCAGTAGGATCCAGGTCAACAAACTTTACTTACTCCAAGGGTCT